TACTAATATTTGATTTGTAACCCTTTTCATCCCCTCCGGGGGATGTTGTGTGTTAATAAATAAATAAGTTTATGATCGACTTATTTAGCTGATTACTAGTGAATGGCTGTGTTATATCTGTCATCATTTAGGCTCATGTGAGGTCCTGGACGGAACTTGACTCAGTGATTTGCAACTAATTACGATATAACCGAAGACGAAAACGTGATATAGAGACCAGACGAGATTTCCCCCTGATACGTGTTGGAGAACCCAGAGGAGAAGAATTCCCCATCATATTACACTAGGTGATCTTCGAGAACAATTGGCAATGTATCTGCCACCAGATGTTCCTGCATACAGCACTACTCACATCAAACGACGCCTTAATGAACAGTTTGGACAGAATATAACGATAGCTGAAGTTGAAGGCAAAATCAATGTTGTTACACACAAGGAACGAGCTGTATCAATTCTCCACGAGTCATATACTGATTCAGAAATCCCTGAATGTGTAGAGGAAGAACACATTAGACTTGCAAAATTGGTTGCATCCAACATAAAGCAAGATTTACAAAACATAGATCAGCCAACAGATGTGTACCCCATGCCCACAGAGATAGATCTTGAGAAGCTTGAAGGCCATATCCCCGATTCCCTCCAGCACCTAATAACAGGCATGTTTACTGATTCACGTACAGAACAAGCTAAACCCTAGGTCGATCCCAGACATGCGCAGTAATTTAAATTACACTAGATACTAGTCTTCATTCATTTTTCTTACTTTTTGTTTATCTTGTCAGACTTTCAGTACCAGTTTTTAAAATCGTACGATCGCTTCGTCTTCACTTGTACGTTTTACATAACACCGTGACGTACTTTTGAGTGGATGTTTCTTACAGCGATCGGCTGCATTGCACAGCGCTGAACGATTGGTTGGTTTATTTACGTAAATTGATATATTTATGCCCGTATGAAGTCACAGTCCGTATCCCGTACGATTCATTCAAACTTATCGACTTTTTCAACATTTCTGATTTTTCATGTTATTCGTCCACATTTTTACATTCAATTTACCAGACAAATTCCTGTCCATGCAATTTAACCAACTTTCCAGACACATTTATTTCCACTTTCATTCGAATTTTCGTTCTATTTTTTCAGGCAGCTGTTCAACGTGTATTGACAAACAAATGTTGCGACTCCTCTGACAACTTTTTCGGATACTTCATTCAACTGTTGAGACTTACCAGTAAATGTTATCAACTGTTATGTGATATTTCTAAATTACAAATGTATGCACTTCAAAACAAATGTCCAACATCCCACTCAACTTTTCAGATTGAAATTTCATCACATACCTTTTATCTGACTTTCCAGAACAATCACCATTTGTCCGAGCTTCTGTTCATTCTTTGTTTGCAAGACGTTCGAGGCATCAAACAGTTTACATCAACAACAGGTCTTTCAGGCATGTTCTCGAACTTTCCAAGTAAACGTATCCATTTATCCAGACAAGTTGCTTTTCTAACTTTTTAGGCAATATTTCGACTTTGTGACGTTCCCCGCATTTTCAATTGAATAAGGCAGAACAATATATTGCAATATGTAACTGCACGTGTTGAATACTCAAAAAATAATAGGTAATAAACCTAACTTTAGGGAATTGATAAAGAAACGTTGACTCCGATTTGAGTATCGGTATAATTGTAGCCAGAGTTTGTGTTGAGGGCGAATTGCGGATGCAGTGACATACTGACTATAAAATGAAGATAGGTCAACGATCTTTGAATATGGATGTACATTTGGTATTTACGAATTAAGTATTTGTTCTCACACTTCTAAAGAGTTTATGAATATATGGTCTTTGCCAATGGCTCTTTTAATACATGCAATTGTGTATAGTTTATTCGACACGCAATGTGCGCCCTCTTTGGGTGAAACATGGTGGATGATTTTACCCTCCCAAAAGTACATCAAACTACAAGTACATGTACCAGAAAGTAATGTTTGGGGAGGTAGTGTGAAGGCAACATAATGTAATCAGTTTATGCACCCAAGATAACATGTTTAATTTATTAAATTTGCTAAAATATGGCTCCCATGTTACAAACATTTTTTCATGAAGAACATTAATTTTTATTTTGTCCTTTCCAGTAATGTACACTAGATATATGTTAGAATGTATGCTGGATACGGTCAGCCAGTGGCTTTGTACAAATTTTTGAAATGCAGGTAGATGACAAGACGCATCTTAAAACGCATGCAAAAGTCTCCATTGCTGGAATTGGCTCACTTCAGACAAGGGCCTGAAGATCTTTATTTAGGCACATGGCTAGTTATTGTGTCTAGGCATGGGAATAGAGATTGTGTCCAGGTATGGGGTGAAGATCATGTCTAGACATGGGAATAGAGATTGCGTCCAGGTATGGGGTGAAGATCATGTCTAGGCAAGGGAATAGAGATCATGTCCAGCCTGAGAATACTGATACAAAACAAGTTTAATCATAGTTTTTGTTTGACATCTGAAAATCAAATCAAAAAATCTTTGGTTTCAGAAGAAAAAAAAAGCAAATAGATGGAAAACAAACAGAATAAACATTTTTTGAAAAAAATGGACAAATTATTTAGTATGGTTTAATAACAAGGTTTACAGATTAAGTACAATCGTAGACTGACACAAGGCATTAAATTAAATGAATTGTTTCATGCTTGGGGAACAAGGAGACACACTAAAAACAGACATGAGTACTTAATTGAAACAGAGAGGTGCAAGTACAACTAGTGTTGTAAATAACACATTACATACACTTCATATATACTGTAAATGTCTGCACATAAATTTTGACATAAAACATCTGTATGTGTTCATTTTGGAAGTACCGGCTTCTATACTGCATGTTTGTTTTTTAATTTGATTTCAGCAAATAATGAATGGACGTACATCAATTTTCTCTCTTCGCATAAAACAAACAATATGAATAATAAGAAATTAATGGAAGACATTAAATTAACTTGAAAATCTTGTACAAAGTAATACCGATACCACTATTGAAATGCTACTATTCTTTGGTTGTTTTCTACTATTATGCAAATTACAGGAAATATGTAATTTTACAATCTACATCTAAGCAAGATTCAAAAGTGTTGCAAAATTGATTAACATTGAAATATGATTGTTTAAGGACATTTATACAAATATATTATATAACGTCTCAAAAACAAACAAACATACAAACAATGTGTGCAACTATGATTAAAGTATACAAGAATCGCAGTAAAGAATACCTACAGTGTTAAATTAATTGATTGCAAGATGGACGACATTCAAATACAAATTTTGCATATAGCCATAAACACCAATAGTGAGGCAGATTTGTTAGCAGCTTTGCGACTTGCAATGTGTACAGTCAGTCTCCAAGCCACTTAATTATACATATAGTTAGAATCACTGAACATTACAACTAATTTCTAGTATTTTAAATTACATATAAATTCTGTGATAAATAAAATATTATGGGAAGGTGACATTAAATTACATTTTATTTACAATTTTTTTACAACATATTTGCATTTATAAAGCTGCAAATTGAAGCCATAAGTACCATTTTTGGCAAATTTTATTTCAAGTTAAATCTCTGATGTTTAATATGTTAATAAATTTATTAAATTGTTCAAATTTATGAAGACAGCTGCAGTACACATTTAGATTCTAGTAGTAGAGTTAATTGTACATTGCATGAACAATAATACGACTTTTCTAGAGTGGAATACTGTATAATAACAGTTGTAAAATAAGTTACTGTTTCACGTTTGTTTATTTATTGTATATGGGTCTGTTTCATGCAACTGACTTAATTTGATTAATTATTTTTCAACGTAACATTATCTTTGTTACAAATCATTTCAAATATCACAATCATACATTTACAGTACATAATTTGGTGATACACCACAGAACAAAAGAAGCATGTTTGTATGCTACAAATAGTACAATAATTTCCAAGCAATCAGTGTGTCAATGATAACAGTAGACAGCAGATGACAATACCTAATACTTCTCACAGACAATACCATAAAAGCATCGACAAAATGTTATATTACAGAAGACATAAGCAGCACGTCAAACATTTCACAGCAGAAACACAACATGCATGCACAGACAAAGCAAATTTATCGAGATGGAGATTGCAAAACACTGTTAATATTTGTATTACATAGAATACCTGTTACAAGCATTTTTTCACTGTCATTGCACCAGTTTAGCAGTCTATGCACCACATTGGTTTTGAAAACTTTACAACAAAAGCAAAAACACAATTACTTGTTAACATTATTGCAGCTTCCACAAAGATGATTGACAATGAATTTAATATAAAACAAAAATGTAAAACTTGTCTTCAGGGAATTTTTAGTTAAACAAACGGAATGTATGAATGGAAGAAAAATAGTAAAATTGAACATAACAACAATCAATTGGAGTGAAAACAGGATAGCATTCAAATCACATCTTGTGAAAATAGTAATATTGATACCAAGCACTGTAAGATGACAGTGACCAACAAAATACTGCTGCATCATAGATTGGTTCATGATAAAGAACAGCCATTCACAGCAGAGCTGCCAAAATAATCTAAGTACTGAGATTGTCAAATCAATTGTTTGATAAAGTTGTAAAATAGCAGCATGATTGATGAAGTAGCAATACATGTACACTGTAAAACAATTTATTTTCACTGGCTTAATTTCACTATTTTGATGTTTTGAGCAATTTCATTGGGTTTTAAATTCACAAACTTGAACAATGAGTTCTATTGTTATGTGTGGATTTAACAACAAAAACAGTGAAATTAAAAACCAGAGAACAATTAATGCATTTAGACTCACTATGATACACTGTCTCTATGCAAGTACAAAGACATCAAATAGATACAAGACATAAGCTCAAAGGTACATACATTGTATACCAATATATTTTCAAACAATTTATCACATGATTTAATTGATATACCCGGTACATATACACAAAAATGCACTTCTCTACATTAGACACATCAGTGCAAAGAATCTAATTCAATCAACTAATGTCATTGTGATGTTGATAGTGGGAAAACACCGCTTTCATGGCTCTCTGTTGAACTAGATCGTGACATAGGTCTCCTGGAATAGTCTCTATGATGAGTGGGGGATGGAGATAATGTGGACCTTGTACTACTTGGCGTCATGCCTAATATAGGTGATGATGTATCAGAGTTTTGTAATTTCCAGTATAGTTCTTCATTCTCCATGGATAAACGCTTGTTCATCTGGGATTCTTTTTCAATATGCTCACGTAGGACAACATGTTCTGATGATAATTGTCTGTAAATATTAAAGAGATTTTTAGACTGGATTAGACTAGAATATTACGAGCTGATCACCTGTTATCATTTCATAGGGATAGTTGATACAAGTGATATAATGGTGAAAACCAACGTGAAAGGATATTGTAGCCCATACAACCATGACCAACTGTGATTTCCAAACAGACATAGATACTGTAATTCTAGAACTGAACTTACAATTTATATACTAATTCTAAACTTCTAATATTGTAAGTGCCTGCCAGCAGAAGAATTATTAGATATCAGATATTATTATTTTTTTCAGATTATCAAGAAACTATGTGATGTACTTCTATTACAGGTACTGTATATGGTGTCTTACCTTTCATATGCAGATTTTGTATCTACTGTAGATGGTGTCTTACCTTTCATATGCAGATTTTGTATCTACTGTATATGGTGTCTTACCTTTCATATGCAGATTTTGTATCTACTGTATATGGTGTCTTACCTTTCATATGCAGATTTTGTATCTACTGTAGCCATCAAAGATTCAGTCTGAGCTTTTAGCCGTTTAATCTCTTCTTCCATTTCAGGAATCCTTTCAAGCTGTGCAAAACGAAAAATATGTTATTGCAACCAAATTTTGACTCATTTCTGTTTATTGCATATATCTGTTAGAAAGGTCTGTTTCAGATTGTTTTAATGATGCTTTGAAAATTGTACTGTACACAATGCAAACAAACTGTCTTGAGTTTAACAAGTTTTTACTACTCACCCTTTTTTTCATAGTGTTTGTAGTTTTGCGTTGATCATGGATTTCTTTATTTTTCAATTCTATAACACATTTCAAACTTTCTACTTCTGCAGGTAAATCTTTGAATTGTGCAATTGCCACCTGATGAGAAAAACACTTACCATTATGTTGGATTGGGAGCTACAGTATGATGTATTACCTCCTTTGTGCTGATGTGAGTGACAGAGGTGTGACAATGGTCTAAATAACTCTTATTTTAAAGTTGAATACGTACTTTGCAAATATGTGAAACACAGAATAATGAAAAACAAATGCTGTTTCAGCAAAAAAATGATATATTAAAACTAAAAGTAGATATCCTGTTCTGACTTTCTGTTCATTTGAGAGTACTGGAAGGATTTAGCTAATACACAAACATATTTTGAATGTGACTGACCTCAAGGACAAACAAAACCTTCTAACTCAGCGAGTGTATATTGTTTATGATTCTAGCCTAATTTAACTTCATAGTATGTAGTTTATTTTTTTCAATAATCATCCACAATCTCAACATTCAATTGTGTATATATTGATCAGTGGAGGCCGGGTGCATCACCTCACTCCCATTCAGTAATCATGATAAATGTGTCATTGACAAACAAAAATAAAACAAATATGAAACATTGCTGAGTATGTCTAAAAACAATTTCTATAACAGAATTGAACACAGCTGCCTGCTCTGAATAAAGTAAAGAAGTTTATACTCAGGGTATTCTCCACAAGCCTTGTACTGTTAAATGGATAAATTAAATTTTTAAACAAGCAGTCTATCAGCTGAGATAGCTCCGCTGTTAGCAATGCACATGGCAATTAAAGAACAGAAGATATCATTAGAAAATGAACAATATGCATAGTATTAAAGCAATCGGACTTGCTGTTTTTAACAAGAAGTCGAAAATATCACTTTTTATTAAAAATAACAAAAATAATCATCAAAATTAGAGAATTAAAAATATCATTATGAAATGAACAAATCTGAGAGGTCCACATGTAATACCTATATATGTAATGTCAAAGTAATCAGACTTGTGGTTTTCAACAAGAAGTCAAAAATATCACTTTTTAGCAAAAATGACAAAAATATTCACCAAAATTAGAGAACTGAAGATATCATAAAATGAAAAAATCTAAGAGAGGCCTACCCAAAGCAAATATATACCAAGTATCAAAGAAATCTGGCTTCAGTTTTCAAGGAGAAGTCAGAAAAGCAAAAAGTTGACACGGACAATCATTCATGTGATAAGATCAGAGCTAAAAAGAAAGAATACCCGGTAGAATCTATTTATACAAGAAACATATCATTAGGGATAAAACTTAACATTCAGATTTTAGCTAGTACACGTGAAAATGAAAGTTAATACATTTTAAAGTTTTCACACAAATGGCAACTTCCAGGATAAATAATTACTTTTGGAAAATAGATGATAAACCAAGAATGAAACCCAAAGCAGTCAGTTCGGTAGCTTCCTAGTAGATATTTATTTACATATATTCATTAAAACGTTTTCAATTAAAATCATTTTTGTTCATATGAAGACTCCTTAGTATTCTAAAAAAAAAAGTTTGACAATTCAAAACCTATACTTATTATCCCCATCGGTTACACAACAGGGAATGTATTATTGTTAGAAGTCACAGTGGGTAGCCACTATATCAACCTTAGAGGTCAAACAAACTACGCTAATAAAATATCTGAATCATGTGTGAGAAGAAACACTGTTAATGTAAAGATGTGAGCTCAATCACCATGACAACCATAAATTAATAATGAAGATCTGAGTAAAGATGTACAACTCAATCACCATGACAGCCACATACCATCAAAACATTTATCAAAGTAAAAATGCAAGATGACTATCAGAGTAAAAATGTACTAACATACTAACAAGCATGATGATTCAAGTAAAGATGTGAGCTGAATCACCATAACCACAGATTAAGCATGTGAGCTGAATCACCAAAACCACAGATTAAGCATGTGAGCTGAATCACCATAACCACAGAGTAAGCATGTGAGCTGAATTACCAAAACTACAGATTAAGCATGTGAGCTGAATCACCATAACCACAGATTAAGCATGTGAGCTGAATCACCATAACCACAGATTAAGCATGTGAGCTGAATCACCATAACCACAGATTAAGCATGTGAGCTGAATCACCATAACCACAGAGTAAGCATGTGAGCTGAATTACCAAAACTACAGATTAAGCATGTGAGCTGAATCACCATAACCACAGATTAAGCATGTGAGCTGAATCACCATAACCACAGATTAAGCATGTGAGCTGAATCACCATAACCACAGATTAAGCATGTGAGCTCAATCACCATAACCACATATTAAGCATGTGAGCTGAATCACCATAATAACCACAGAGTAAGCATGTGAGCTGAATCACCATAACCACAGATTAAGCATGATAATTTGAGTAAGCATGTGAGCTGATTCACCATAACCAGAGTAAGCATGATAATTTAAGCATGTGAGCTGAATCACCATGATAATTTGAGTAAGCATGTGAGCTGATTTACTATGATAACCAGAGTAAGCATGATAATGTGAGCAAGCATGTTTGCTGATTCACTATGATAAACACCGAGTAAGCATGATGATTCAAGTAAAGATGTAAGCTGATTCACTATGATAAACACAGAGTAAGCATGATAATTCAAGTAAAGTTGTGAGCTGATTCACTATGATAAACACAGAGTAAGCATGATAATTTGAGTAAGCATGTGAGCTGATTCACTCTGATAATCACAGAGTAAGCATGATAATTTGAGAAAGCATGTGAGCCGATTCACTATGATAAACACATACCAACAAGAATTTTATATCAATAAATAGGACAGATGAATCACCATGATAACCACAAATCAAGATGGCAAATGATGAAAGAAACAACTCACCTGTACTTTCTTATCACTGTCCTTTTGTAAAGCTTCTTCTAACATCTTTACTTTCTCCTTATAGTTTTCAAGTTGAAAGGTTAACGTTTCTACCTCATCCTATCAACGTAATAAACACACAAACAGTATTGATAGATCTGTCCCATCTTTTAAAGAATACATGTACATGTATCAATTCAACACAGGAACACACATATGATTTTTGGCTAAGTATGAGGATATCATTGTAAGCACTATATTATTCAAATATTACTTTCTCCTTATAGTTTTCAAGTTGAAAGGTTAACGTTTCTACCTCATCCTATCAACGTGATAAACACACAAACAGTATTGAGAGATCTGTCCCATCTTTTAAATAATACATGTACATGTATCAATTCAACATAGGAACACACATATGATTTTTGGCTAAGTATGAGGATATCATTGTAAGCACTATATTATTCAAAACCATAACCATGTACTAGTGTCACATCTTTATTATACATCACACTTTTTGTGTATAGAATTGAGAGCAATTATTTCTATAATTTTTAACCATATGGGTATAATTTCCTGTTGGCTACAGTTCTTAAATAAACATTCTGAGAAAACATTGTGTGAGTTTATTTTGTGATAACAAACATTCGGTTCTCAATAACTCAAATCCACAGAGTATGTTTAATACTATCAATCTCTACTAAACAGAGGTGCATGATAGCACACTTGCCAATAACATGTCATAACATATCCCAGAGATTCTTTTTTTCAAAATTATGAGTCTACACAAGGCTACTCAGAAATATTCATTTGAATAAAGATACAAATAAAAAGTCTAGATTGCCATAAATGCTGATCTCAGAAAGCCGTGACCACAATATCAATCTTTCAGTTTTTGGATTCTGATCTTCAAATTGCACCTGAATTTCCAGATGTGAAAACATACAAGCAGTATCATTGTTTATTTAGCTAAGATGAAACTGACAAATTTATTCATGAATAGCAGGAGTTTCAGCTTAATGTGACCACTTCATATGTTCAATGTAGACAAGCGTACATGTTGGCATCTTCTGTGTTGCCTAGTAACAAAGCCATGGTTGATACATCGATTGTGACTTTTGCTACTGAATACTGTTTTCTTTACGCATAAAAGTAAAGTAACCATTTGAAAGTTTTACTGCTTAGAAAGTTCATGATTTTTACAGTTCTACAAAATTCAGAAAAATTAGTTTCTTGTAAAATATGCATTATCTAATATATTATACACCTACAGTAACTTTTTTTAAAACCGAGAATCAGCATCTCAGGTTAGTTAACCTACTATTTTGATAATTCCAACAGAGGTAGTATATGACTTCATGAAATATATAAATCATACCTTGAGTGGAAATAGTTGCTTTTCACAATCAGTCGTAATATTTTTTATTTTGGTTGTATATTCCTTGGTAATTTCTTCTATTTCGTCTTGGTGTTGAGTTATTAATATGCTATTATCTTTGGTATATTTCTCATCTTTCTCTTTGAGTGTTTCTGTGTTAAACTTTCTCATCTCTGACAACTGAAAACATTAAATTATGAAAAACAGGATATATCACAGGATGACAAACATATATTAATGTCCTTGTTAGTCTTCATTGGAAACATGATGTAGGTAACACAATTACCTGCATAGACACAACAAATAGCTCTGTACAAATATGTGAATATCATTTACAATATCATACGTGTAACTAGCTAATCTGCTAATAATTTATTTACATCAATATATTGTATGTCAATACTGCAGTGCATTGTATACTGGGTTTCTGCTAATCCTTCACCAGCCACCAATGGTGGGATAACTTTTTTAATTTGGTCATAAAAGAATATTATTTTCTTTCGTTACTGAGGGCTAAAGGTAATTTCAAACCATTAATTATTCCGAGAAAATCATTAAGTCATTACCAACAAAAAAAGAAATCAAACATCAAGAAGCCAAAACAAGTTAGTTTTTGACTGTAGTATTTAGCCATGATAGTTATCTGTACACTCTAAGAAAAGGCCGACAAACCAAACAATGCAGCGTTCAATATCGTTTTTTCAGCTCAGTTTTAGCTATGAATAATCTGAGTAAGATTGATGACTAGAAATGTTTTCCATATGTAGTGGAATTAGTGACTATAAATACATACCTCCTCCCTATGCTGTGCTTTGATATTCTGAAGATTTTGTGAATAGTCTGACATTGCTGAAATGGAAATTCAACATTATTGTTTGCATGCATGTAATGTAACTAGGCACAGAAAATCATAATCCTGTCTGTTATGTTATTGTATAAGGAGAATACAAGCACGTCCAATGTTTTGGGTGACAGGAATGCAGGGTTTTCGTTAAAAGCCGCTCACCGGCTTATTTGCCGTCTACACGATCTCGCACGGCCGTCTACTGCTGCAGAATTCAATTGCAGGTCATAGGTCACACCTGTTGTCACATGGTTGATTGGAAAAAATGGCGTCAAAACGTAAGATCGCACAGGGAAACAAGACAGGAATAAAATCTCGTAAAATTGATTTTTTTATTTCAAAGGTATATATTACTTTTCATTATCTACTTTGTTATTTTCTTACGAAGTTTCGTTATTTTCGCGATTATTTACGAAAAATTTAT